TGTCACGTGGTATCCGCCGCAAGCATGCGAGCTTCCATCATCAGAGACGACATCGAGGAGATGGGGGTGTGTTTTCTCCACGCCCTCCCGCCCCAAGACGCGTCATCGACAGACTCATCTTCGGATCCACGCATCACCGAACTTCTCGACGCCTACAGCGACGTGTTCGAAGGCCCGCACGGAGTAGTACCGGATCGACCCATCCGCCATGAGATCATCCTCGAGGACGGGGCCATACCTCCACGCAGTTGCATCTACTGAATGAGCGAGGAAGAGTTAAGTGTGCTTCGGGCACAACTCGACGACCTTTTAGAGAAAGGTTGGATTCGGCCTAGCTTATCGCCATACGGTGCTCTTGTTCTCTTCATCCGGAAGAAGAACAAGGATTTGCAGTTGTGCATCGATTATCGCAACTCAATGCGCAGACGATCAGAAATGTCGGCCCTCTACCACGCATCGACGATCTTCTCGAGCGACTAGGCGGCACCAAGTTCTTCTCCAAGCTCGATCTCAAGTCGGGATATCACCAACTCGAGATTCGCAAGGAAGATCGCTACAAGACCGCGTTTAAGACGCAATATGGGCATTTTGAATGGCTGGTTATGCCATTTGGCCTTACGAATGCCCCGGCCACTTTCCAAGCGGCTATGACAACGGAGTTCCGACACATGCTGGATCGATACGTACTTATCTACCCCGACGACATCCTGGTGTACAGCCGGAGTTTGGAGGAGCATGTGGAACACCTGCGCACCGTTTTGGAGCGGCTACGACAAGCCAAGTACAAAGCCAACCGCGATAAGTGTGAATTCGCACGGTAGGAGCTGGAGTAAGCCAAGTACAAAGCCAACCGCGATAAGTGTGAATTCGCACGGTAGGAGCTGGAGTACTTGGGACATTATGTGACGCCGCAAGGCATCCGTCCGCTTGCGGACAAGATCGAGGCCCTACGAGTATGGCCCGAGCCCACCAACACCACGAACGTTCGTTCATTCATGGGATTGGCGGGCTACTATCAGCTATTCATCATCGAATACTCAAGGATTGCTGCACCTATGACAAGATTACAATCGCCAAAGGTGCCATTCGTATTCGATGACGACGCACGCTGGTCATTCCAAGCACTTAAGACGACTATGCTCATGGCACCCGTCCTCAGCATCTATGACCCCACCTTGCCGACGAGAGTGACTACGGACGCTTCCAGCTATGGCATTGGGGCAGTCTTGGAACAGCACGACGGCGACGACTGACACCCTGTGGAGTATTTCAGCCACAAAGTGCCTCCCATCAACTCACTTGATGATGCAAGGAAGAAGGAACTGCTCGCATTCGTCATGGCTCTCAAGCGATGGCGACACTTCCTCCTTGGGCGTCGTAGGTTCACATAGGTGACGGACAACAATCCATTGACCTACTACAAGATGCAGGATACGGTGAGCAACACAATCGGATGATGGATGTACTTCATCGACCAATTTGACTTCACACCGAAACATCTTCCCGGCCTCTCCAATCGCGCAGCAGATGCACTTTCGCGAAGTCCTGATCTTTGCGCTATCACACACCATGCCTTCGCATTCGACGAGGAGCTTCAGCGACACTTCATTAGGGGCTACGAGTCCAATCCAGATTTCGCCACTCTATATGCGCAGCTATCTTCGGATCACCCACCGGCCAGCCACTATCGCATCGCCGATGGGTACTTGCTCCTGCACTCGCGGGGCAAGGACTTACTATGTGTCCCACACGACCGCCGTCTTCGGACTCGCCTCCCCGGCGAGTATCATGATTCGCGACTCTCCGGCCATTTCGGAGTCAACCGCACTATTGCACGACTTCGACAACAATTCAGATGACCCGACCTCATCACCGATGTCACGAGGTATTGCGACTCTTGCGAAGTTTGCCGACGAAGCAAACCCCGCAACCGCAACCCCTACGGCGAGCTGCGCCCGATGCCGATCCCGCAGGAACCCGGTCTCTCAATTGCCATGGATGTCACCGGACCATTCCCCCGCGACCGCCTCGGACACGACGACATTCTCATGGTTGTGGACCGATTGAGTAAGTACGCACGTTTTCTTCCTTGCAAGTACTACTCCACGGCTCCCGACCTGGCACGCCTCCTGCACACCGGTTGGATTTGTGGCCACGGTGTACCAGAAGACATAGTCAGCGACCGCGACACTCGTTTCATGTCGGCATTTTGGACTGCTCTCATGCAGGAGTCCGGCACGAAGATGAAGCCAAGTTCGGCTTGGCATCCACAGACAGACGGGTAGACGGAGCGGGCACATCAAACCGCTCAAATGATGCTTCGTACGCTCATCCGTCCAGACCAGAAAGATTGGGTTGACCGCCTCCCCGACATCGAGTTCGCCTACAACACTTCAGTGCATCCGGCGATCGGCGTGACTCCATTCGAGTTGCACCACGGTGGATGGAAAGGCCGTATCTTTGCCGACCTTCTCCTCCCTCGACCAGCCGACGTTGACGCCGCTTGCTCTCCCGCTTCCGTTCGGAAGTATAGGGAATTGCTGGCTCAGGCCCGCGCAAACGTGCAAAAGGCTCAGATCCGCATGCAGCAGCAGGCCAACAGGCGTCGCGTGCCATGTCCCATCCGCGCCAGTGATCTGGTTTGGGTCTTCGCGGAAGAGTTTGCACTGGAACAGGATGTTTCACGCAAACTGCTTCCCAAGTGGTTTGTACCATGGTCTGTGACATCAGCAGCGGGCGATGAGCCCAATGGCCCTTCATTTGTGATCAACATTCCCGAGCATCTGACGGTCCATCCAGTCTTCCACGCATCAAAGCTGGCAACATATACACCAGCTAAGAGCGATGACTTCCCGGGCCGACGATCGCAGGACCCTCCATCTATGGATGGTCATCAGGAGGTTGACCGCCTCATCTTGGATCGCAAGTACGACAGCAAGCCGCGACAGTACAAAGTTACATTCCGAGCATGCGATCTCGACGACACTCGGTGGATTTCAGGAGCAGATTTGAAAACATCCGCACCGCTGATCTACGCTCACTATGAGCGACAAAGGTTAGCCAAGGGACCTCCACGACCCGCCCCTCCCACCCGGACTGTGGTCCCTCCCTCAGACAGACAGCTTCGCCCTCGCAGGAAAGCTCTGTCTTTCAAGGAGGGGGGGGTGTGGCATACTGCGTAGCCACACGGGCCCTGCAGGGCCCGTCCCGCATTTCCAGCCTAAAAGCCTAAAAGTTAGGGCTTACAGGCCCTGGTCGTTTCAGCCTGAAAGCTGAAATACGAGGGCCTGCAGGCCCTATTCCGTTTCAGCCTATTTCTGGGCCTTTCAGGCCTAGAGTTTTTCTAGCCTGAAACGGAGGGCCTTTTTCAGGCCCTCATTGTTTCGACCACCCCTAAGACTCAGGCACGAATACAGGGTTTCGGAACAGGCCAGAAATAGCCTGTTCCTCACGAGCTCGAGCAGGAGCTGCAGCTGCAGCCCCTGCCTTCCTTTGGCATTGGCAAGAGCAACCTCCTGGACTGCTCGCACGAGTCAGGAGGCACACCCGGTAGTACATAGGAAGTTCCCATGCACTTCACGGGTAGGTAGTAGTCAGAGGCACGAGTARTCTTCAGGATTCGGCYGCARCACTCAGGAGGAGCGCTGCAGTAGTCTTCAGCGCTAGGCAGTAGTATTAGCGCTAGTAGTAGTCTTCGGCGYTGGGMGCCCATAGCCATAGCTGTAGTCTTCAGCGCTGGGCGCTATAGGTGGTAGATCGTAGAGTTGGGAGAGATGGCTGGCGGAGGCCAGTGAGACTTACCTGTGGCGCCATAGCTCCAGCTCCATCTTCAAGGTACCTGCATCAAGGCGCCAACTTCACAGGTTAGTACCGGACTGAGAGAGAGAGAGAGAGAGAGTTCTTCTTCCTCTTCTTCTAAGTCCACCATCTCTTCT